TGTTTATTCTGTTCATATATCTAAAATAAATTACTTTATTTTTGAGAAATCTGTTCAGGTCACAAGTTCTTTTCACATTCATGACCAGAGGGGTATTTCATAATTTCCTGATTTCCTTCTGCAAGATCTGGCTGGATTATTTTATGAACTTTAGGCTGGTCCTAATCTTCATGGAGTAATTCCTACACTGGTATTAATAAATAAAAAAACATTGTATTTTGAAAATTACAAATGTGTTCATTTCTACAAAACTGTCACATATTTTTACAAAATACACTGAATTTCATTTAGGTCTCCAGTCCATCACAGGGACACAGACAGAGACAAACTGTCCACTCCTCCAGTCAGGCTGGAGTCACACAGAAGCTTTTAAAACTAAGAACTCTGAGATCTAAGTTGTAATCACTTATTTTTAATAACTATTTATCATAATGTGGCAACCTRGAAATGCCCTCATTTCTTTTCATTATTTTCACTTGTGTTTAGCACAGAACTGGTTTATTGTTTGTATTATGTGAACTGTTGTATTGTTCTATTTTTTGTAAATAATATTTTTGAAAAGAAATTGTAGCCCTTGTTTGTGCTGACTTTATTTATTTAAGTATTTTACAGCGATAAAATCCTCAAAATACCGGTATCTGAATATCAACCATAGACCGTTATTATTGATCTGTTTTGTGAGGAGTTTTTAACATTAAGATGTAATCAGGCAGACATACAGTATATACACATTTACATTAGTTATTATTAATACTATAATTAAATATGAGCTGTGTAAATGTATGTTTGTATCAAACAAGTAATCTTTGTGTTCCTCTGTACCTGAAAGGCTGGTGATCCCGTTAATAGTTGGTGTTTAACTATTTTAAACAAAGGTTTTACCATAATACATAATTACATTACATCTTATTTTCTCATTTCTTGTCAACTTTAACATTTCTTATAAAAAAAACCCACTGGGCGTAGCTGGTTCTCTGGGGGAAACCCTACGTGTTTTATTAAGAAAAATCCCAATAAATGGAGCATTTTATTTAAAACAGACTGTGAGCATGCTCAGTAACGTTCAGAAGGATCAGCTCGTTATAATTCTGATGATTGGATTTATTGTTTAAAGATTTATTTTTCTGTCAGAAACCACAAACTGCTTCATAACAGCAGAGTCCAGCAGGAAGCTGAACTGCTCCAAAGGTTTGGTTCAGTAAAAACTCACCCATGTCCTTCTTGACGATGTTGTAGAAAACTCCGCCCTGCTGGAACAGGTGAGGCAGCTTCTTGGCGTACGACCAAACGTCCTCACCTGAAACAAGAAATAAACATTTTACAGCTTCGAAGAGGTCCGGAAACAAAACAAGACTTCAGCTGAGACGAGGCGTTCACTGTCAGTCAGTTCAGCTGAGCCTCCATGATGAGGCGTTCACTGACAGTTAGTTCAGCTGAGACGAGGCGTTCACTGACAGTTAGTTCAGCTGAGCCGAGGCGTTCACTGACAGTTAGTTCAGCTGAGACGAGGCGTTCACTGA